TATTATTATTGTTTTATTATTTTTATCTCTCCATTGGTATCTGTGTTTTTCTCTTTGTCTCCAAGTGCATCTCAAGTCTCCTCCCTCCCTGGTATCCTTTTGTAGACAGCGCCCTGCCCCTCGCTTCTCTGGTAGGGACGGACGTGGAAAGGGCATATCCAGGCCAGAGCGTCTGTTCCCTCTCCTTCTCTATTCCATGCTCCACGTSAGGACACAGAACACTTGCCCAGGGGCAAGGCCTGGCTCCAATCCCATAAACAGCCTCATAAAATCCTGAGCCCCAAATCTGTCATATCTGGACAGGCCAGTGACTCAGGATACAGGAGGCCAGGTCCCTAGATCTCAGTCTTTCAGGTTCCCCAGCCCACTCCTCTCTCAGACCCAGAAGTTAGGACTCCCCCAGTCCCTCCTTCTCTCGGATCCAAAGTCCCCTGCTTCTTCACGATCTAGGAGCCTGGCCTTGATCTCTCAAGACCCATGGCCTCTCAGGACCCCATCCTCCCTCAAGACCCAAAGATGAGATCAGCAAAGAAGTCAGGTATGGGCACCAGAATCCCCATTCCGGGCCATTCTGTCTCGGACCGCGCCCTCAGTCACCAGGCTCTTCAGTCTCACTTCAGAGGTGGGTCTGACACGTGAGGCATTCTTCTGGAGTCTAGCTTGCAATAAGCTATCCATGACGTCAGTCACTATCATCCAGCCAATAGACGCTCCGCTTCCCACCTCCCCAGGCCACTCCGGACGCTTTCGCTAGTGGGCGGGGCCCGCAGCCCAAGTCCGACGGCGATAGGTTCTCGTACGTGCCCGTCTCCTCCAGTCCTCGCCAGTTTGCCAATAGACTGGGAACGGCTGGGTCCCGATCCAGGTCGGTTCCGCAGAGGCCATGGCAAGCTTGYGGGGAAACCAGTTTTGCGGGTCCAGCCGGGTAAGCCCTTTCCAGAATGACCWGTATTGGGATTCTGACCATAGCTCGGACGGGAAACGGCCAGACTGCGGCGGAGGGGGGAGCTCGACCAGGGCGAACCCATATTGCTTTATTGGAGAAAGTGTCCAGAGACGCATGATCTCGGATCTTCATCCATYCCTTCCTTCCACCCTGAACTTGATTCTCATCTGCCCCTGCCTGCTCTGCTTTTCCTTCCGTTTAGTCCTCCTCCTCCCTTTAATTCCCTCACTCGCATAGCCATTCACGCCTCAATCACCCCCCCACCCATTACTTAAACAAACATTTCCTGAGKCTTCTGGTGTGCCAGCCCTGGTGCTGGGCGATGGTGGTGACCAAGATGAGTCAAGCTTAGGCCCTGCCCTTAAGGAGCCCCAGTCAGATGGGAGGAAGGACATTGATGGGCAGGGGTGTGAAGTGGTGGGGCAGCCCAGGAGAGCCTTTTGGGGGGCGGGGGTTTGACTTGTCTGGAAAGGATTCCCAGAGGAGGAGCCATTGGAGTTGGATCTTGGGARAGCAGGAGGTGCCAGGCAAAGGTGAAGAGGGTGTGAGAAGGATGTTTTAGTTTGTGCAAAGGCAGGGAGGTGTGCAGGATCATTAGGTGCCCAAGCAGAGGGCCAGTCATGACCTCTAGCAAGGGAACTGTAAGGCTGGAATAGGATGAAGATGAGGCAGTGGGCAGAGGTCAGGCTGGGGTGACAGTTAGGGGTGGCCCAGTCAGAGCTGGGATCAGAACTGGAGGAATGAGATTGGAAGCTAGTGACCCAGGTGGTGGCCTTTCCAGGGACCCAGGCATGAAAGGATGGAGCTTGGATCAGGGAAGAAGCTGAGGGGATGAGACCGAGATTCAGGAGGCAGAAGGAACAGAATATGGGGTCGATGGGCTATGAGACGAGGGGGTGATCTGGACAAGACCTAGTGCTCTTCTCCTTCTCAGGATTCCAGGTGCCATTCCCAGGTGCCATTCCCAGGATGGGGGACAGGAAAAAGGAACAGGTTAGCAMGTCATGACTGTTTTGACAGAGATAAACTTAGAGGTCCTAGGAGCAGTGTGTGGATCTGGATGCTCCGGGGAATTTTGGGCTGTGGCCCCTCCCCATCATAGGTCTTGACTTCAAGTCAGTTGTTGGGGTGAATGAGGGCCTCTAAGATGGGGATCCGC